AAGATAAACTTTTCTGTTTAACATATTCGCTTTTCTTTTTGGATACATGTATTTTCTAATCTTAATAATTAATTCATTTCAGTAGAATCTTAAAAACACTGATTTAATTATGTAATAAAATCTTTATAAGCATGCACAATATAATATAATTTTAGGAATAATAATAATAATAAAAAAAAGATTTTACAAAATTTTTAATTTCCTTTTTTTTGTATTTGAATGCATGTTTTTTAAAAAGAGATTTATTTTATTAATAATCAGTCTGTGTAAAGGGTGATGGCAAACACACACTTAAAGATGTAATAAAAACATAAAAATAATAAAAATCAAATTATTTAAAAAGAAATCATAAGTTGCGACACGCTTTTTAGGAAGTGTGATATGAATGAATGGTTCCAGAGTCCAATGGATTAAAGAGAATACTTTGTTGTATAATATATGTATATAGCTGTGACTGTGACACACTTGGCAGTTCTGGTACGTGATTACAGTGTGTTTGCTCAGATTTGGGCGGAAAACATGTGTAGCTCAACTGCTAATGTTAATGTCGATTGTAGAGCCGGGATTGTTGCCGTCCTGCATGCGAATTAGAAATTAATTCGCCCTTGAATGAATATTAAACACCATACGCTGTATATCAGCTTGCGTTTGCCGCGTGTGTTCCGTTGTATGTATACATGTGTGTGCAACTGCATTTTGGGAACCAGCAAGTGGCAATGATTTATTTGGCCACACTACCTCTAACTGTCAATCGGGACAAAACGGATCGCATTCCGGGAGCTTTTGTTTCCAGAGATTCGAGCGTAACGCGTTGGCTGTCAACCGTGTTATACTTTTGTGCGTTCCCACGACATTTTACTGGCAGCCAGACTCCAAATGGCCCGAATGAGCTACCAAAGAGAGTGAGAGAGAGAGATAACCGAGAGGGTGGGAGCAATGAGAGGTGTTAGCAGCTGGGCATTGCCAAGCGTCTACCTAAATCAAGCGGGAAACGCAACTCAAGCATTTGGCAATTAACAATTTTATTTCTATGAGCCACAAACAATGTTAACCGCGCGGCATCCGCAGCAGCTACTGCTTACTAACTTGGCTAACTGGCGCGCGTTACGCCTCCATTACACCTTGTTGCAGTTGTTACGCAGTAATTTTTATGTCTTTCCACGGAACAAAGTCATACAAAACGGCGCGGAACTGCCTCCAAAAGAGAACTTCTCTTGACGATTCCGAGGCGATAATTGCGTGTTTAACTTGCTCTTGCCATTGTTATTGTTATTGTTCTTTCGCTTGATAAGCGGCCTGATCTTTGTCTCGAGTCGTTTGGCTTAGCGACATTTGGAGGGAAACCATTTTGCCAGCCAGCTCTTTTAGTTTTTCCACAAATACTACATTAAGTACTACATTCCAAGCCACCGGCATCCTTGTCCAGCCGATCGTGAAGAACAACAGTTACCCTTTTTAATGAGGTACAATTAAAAATGTCGCATAACTTCGCTTAAAATGGACAATATACAAAAGGCCCTCGGAAAAATGGGTCTTTAATATCGCATCGAGAGAGCAGAGAAAAAGGACTCTTAGAACCAAGTTGCCAATCTGGTTCCACGTCAATTTATTCATTTCTTTATTAATTTATTTAACCTAGGCCTTCGTCTCGCAAGAGTATTTATTAAAAGCAGTTAAAACCGAAAAGAATTTAGTTTCCGCTTCCGATTCTGGTGCATAAAGTATAAATATTTCGGTACTCTTACAAACTGTTTTACGGTATTCGGTTAGGTATTGGTAGCTTTATTTTTACGATATGCTACGGAACCAATACAAAAGTTTTAAAAATAAGTAATAACGTTCCAAATGGGCATCACTAACTGTAGCATACTCTGATACCATTTGTGGAAAAAAATGATCAGCAATAAAAATTAAGTAATAAAATAGAGGCGTCGGCAGGCAAACTATGGTCTGCAAGATTTATTTCTTGTTATACCTTGAACCCATTAAAATGAGCATATCTTAATCAGGATCAACAGCCACGTCGATCTAACCATATCGTTCTGTCTCTCCGTCTGTAAGAACCAACGGATCCTTACATAAAGTAAGGTATAGTATTGAATAGTTTTCAAAAACATGACTGGTGAGTAAATTAATTTGATGAATCCATTGGAACATTTCGAAAAAAAAGAGATTGGCAAAGTTGTGAGATTTGTGCTACATTTAAATTTTTTAACTTAATTTTTTGAAAGTGTAAGTTACATTATAAACATACCAAGCATTTTCCACCACCATAACTTAAAATCGAAATTCTAAAATTGTGCTAATCTACGATTAGTCATTTACTTAGTTAGTTTCTAGCTTATGTCGGTTTCCCCTCTATCGGTCTGTCTTCCAGAGGCTATTAGATACGTTTAGTACGCACTTTCTCTATTCTCGATGGGTATTCAATTTCTGATTTGTGCAACTCGTGCTGGCTCGCCCTCCCGTTGCGTGTTGCACCTAATCTGTGTGTCCATCCGGGCGAAGTCGAACAGCATTTTAAATTCCTGGGTGCACAGTGCAGCAATTGATCTTTGGTCAGCAGGCGTTTAGTAGTTTGATTGTTTGTGCCACAAAATAATTTGCATAGCCCATTGTGCGCACCAAAGTCGTACGCATTCTAAAAAGGGGGGCTGGGCGCCGTTTTGTTTTGTCAGAGTTGGCGTTGGCGTTGGCGTTGACGTTGGATGTGGCTTTGGCTGTGGCTTTGGCTTTGGCGTCGCCGTCCACTGTCGGTTGTCGGTTGTCGGTCGTGCGTCATGGGGCCTCGGGCTTGCGGCTTGCATACATATGCCGCACCTGCGACTTCATGCCAAATCCAGAGTCCAGCACCAAAGAAGGCGTTTTTTTTAATTGCGTCGACATGCCCGAACTACCAATGAGAGAAAGACTCTTGTCGTCAGGTTAGCGACTGCCCGATCGGCCGATACCGATAGCGATAGCTTTGTCGTCGTTGTCGTCATCGTTGCTGGCGCTCTCACGCAAAAAGTGGCAGACACATGTGCGATAATCCACATACATTGCAACTGCATACCACCATCGGCATTGTGCACAATAAGTATCCACACAAACACACACAGATACACACACAGATACAGATACAGATACATACACATATTCATCTCGCCATTTCTTTGTCTTTGGCGAGGCGTCGCACAAACTTCGTCTAAATATTTATCCAGCATGTCATAGCTCTTTGCCTTTTGGACCACAAGCAAACATGGCCCAATGGCAGTTGCAAAAAAAAAGAAAGAAAAAAACAGGCTTTATGCTTTTTTTTTTTAAACGAGTGCGCGACTTTTGATTGCATTTGGGTCTATTATTGCGGTTGCTCTTGCTGTTGATGTCATTGTTTGATGTTCATCCATTTATGGTTGGCATTGTTTGATTAAAATACTTTCCTTATGGATAACAGAGTATGGCCTAAACAACCAATCAATGCTTTAAACGAACACAGCCCGATGAGAATATAATACTCACTTAGTGTTAGTGAGAGTTTGCCTTTTAGCTTTATATTTGCACAGCCGCCATAGACAGGGAGACTGACAGACAACCAATCGATCGCTCGACGGCATTTCAAGATTCCATTATGACACCCGACACTGTTTACCTATTTGCTCACATTTAACGGATTACTGCGTTTCGACTCGACCAACAACAGCAACAAACAGCGGAAACCAGCCAAGATCGCGCACTCTATACTTTGCAAATAGTCCAAAAACAGCCAAACAGTCAAACAGCCAAACAGTCAAACAGCAGCGAAAACGGCTGCCTAGCATCTCATGATCACCCAGATATATCTGTGTGTATATATCTTTGTGTGTGCGCGTGTGTATAAGTGTTGCAGCAACAGCAAAAGCAGCAGCATCGGCAGCTCTCTAAACTTGCATCTGTGTGTTCAACAAATAGAAATCAATGGCCGCTTTAAGGGGGGAGAGATCAATGGGAATGTGATAATCATTCCAATTCTCAGCTCAACTTGGCTACTCTGTCTGCTCGTTGTTCCGAGTCATTGGCTGGCAATGGCAAATACGTATTCAAATAGCGACAACAACGACAACTGCTGTGAAGTTGTAGTTGTCGTTGTCAGTGTTTGTATACCCTTGCCGAGGGTATTATAATTCTGTCGTGATGCTTGAAGGAGACATCCCCGATCGCAGTAAGTATAAAATCTTCTTTATCAGCATCACTAGCCGAGTGCGTCTCTCAATTTGAAAGCTTGATTAAGCATATAGATTTATATCCGCATATATATGCAATCCGCCGGATCAGATCATTATACATAGCTGTCATAGGAACGATTAACAAGAATATTCGGACCAACTCACTAGTTATATGCTTGGACAAAAACTGCATTATCTACAATACAAAATGGCTTTTATAAACCATGAATTAAAATTGCTCTGAAGTTTAGATAAACTTTTTTAAATGAAAACCCCATTGAATGCTGTAAATAAGTTCTGGTTTTTGGCAATAATTTCTTAATGTTGGGTTTTAGAAGCGGCAAAAAGTGATGCACTAGGTTTGGCGGTTAGACTAAGAAGAATTTATTCAATGTATTTTAAAGTTAAGGTATCGAGCGCAGTATCGATATCTTCTGTTATTAACATTAGTAATCGGAATGTTGTATTGATCTTTTACATATTTTCAACACTTAACATACGAAAAAACAGTCAAAATTAAAAATCTTACGTTTAGATAAAATACTTTATAAAGTTATAATTATAAACTATCTAAAAATAATTGTATATATGGAATCGTAGAATACCAATGTTTAATAATAATTCACGTATCATAAACTCGAATATAGAAAATAAATCCTACAAACTGGATATATTTGTTCCTGGACATCTTACCCGGTAATTAAGAAGAGAAATATTTAGAGAGACACAAAATTGCATCTTAGAATCACTTTTTTTAAGTACAGCCAAAAGTAAAGATATTTTCCAAATATCAATTCCGTTTTTTTCTGAGTGCAGGAGCAATTTTGAAATTTATAATGAAATTACGAAGTCAGCAGATGGACTCCGGTCTGCAAGCGTATGTAATCTTCGGCAAGGCTAAGATAGCCATAGTTTCTTGTTGTTTTTGTTGTTGTTGTTGCTGTTGAAACAGTCAGCGATGTTTTGCTATTGCTGCCTTTTTATCATTTGTCTTATTTACCTACACTCATTCGCTCTGGGTGTTGTCTTTCTCAAAAACGCTCGAGCTGCATGTTTGCATTGCCTGGCTGCATCTACGATTGCGACTTTGACTTCGGGTTGACTTGGCTGGGCAGAGTTGGATTTGCATTGGGCACCGCGCTGTATTTGCCATGTTAATACGAGCCAGTGTCGCTCGCCTCGAGCCGCATTAGCGACACAGGAGAGTTTTTGGGCCGTGTCGTTTGGCCGGTGCCGATTCAGCTTTGCAAAACAGATGCCGCATGCGTTTATTTAGTGCGCGTGCGCATGCGCATGAGGCCATCAGCCATAGTTGTGTTGCAGTTGCAGTCATCAGTGGTGCGGCTGCCACAAACGCCGGCGACAGGGTACTGGGTATAGTTGATGTAGCGGCACTGGCCAAAGGAATGCTTGAAATGTTTAGGCCAAGTTGGGATTACTGGCGTCCAAACATCGGTCGACATCAAAGAGTTGCCAACATTTGATGGTAATTGCCGCTAAACGATTTTCAATGTTAACTTGTAAAAACGTTAACATTTTTAATTTGTGTTATATACTCACGGACAGTTGTTTATATCTGGCAGTCGCACACACACACACACACACACACACACCACACACATAAACACATGTCAGTTAGTATCCACGTTGTGTGCCTCTGTTTTATTCCTTCTCCCCATACTGGTTAGCATAAATTCCGTGCTTTATCAAGCACATTACCCACCGCAAACACACACAGACACACACCACTAACACACACCACTCACACACACTCAAGCCATTGGCATTAATAAGTATCTGATTGAAAAGAGCAGTTAAATCTTGTTTCTTTTTTTTTTTTTGATGATTATCTTACGAAGATCTTCACACCCATCAGTTAATTACTAGTTTTATTGCAAACATGTACAGCCGCAAGTTTTAATGTGCATTTTTATAATGCGATTCCATATACATCAATATAAAGCTTAAATTAGCAATTTTATCTCTTATTAATATCTAGCAATTATCTAAGCAACATATGTATTTATTTTTATGCTCAGTTTATATCACATCGATAAAATTTGCGTATACGAGTAAGCTGCAATAAAATCCAAATAAAGTCCAGCTGTGTGAGAACTTTTATTTGCCTGACTGTAGAACTGTCTTAATGTTGTGCAGAAATATGTTAAGTCGTGGCTACCCAAAGTAATTCACTTATCCAGTTATCCAGATCACAATCAGATAACTAACCACACAGATACGATTTTTATACTGCAGGTTCTTCAAGTGTGCATCAGTGCTGGCCATCTTGATCTCTCTTGGTCTTGGTTTGAGGCCAACAAATCGAACGGATGACGGTGCCAGTCCTAAGCATAATAATAATGATCATAACGACATTGTGCATAAAGTGGAATTCTCGAATCAAAATCAGCTCATTACGGAGGCTAATGTAAGCACAACAAAGCCATTCTGCGAGATTTATTCAACAGCTTTAAGTGGTCGGGATGAAGGAGGAGCAGCAGCTGGAGGAGGAGGAAGATGATGCAGCGCTAATGACATTATGCACGATTGCCTTAAAGGAAAAGACAGAATCAGAATCGAATTCAGATTTTGTTAACGAATCAATGCAGTCAAAAGAAGTATTAATAAGAAGACTAGTAACATTTTCTTATTATTTACTTTTTTTTCTTCTTTTTTTTCTTTTTTCAATACGCGACCGTATCCGAATCCAAAAACCGAGGTCGACTCTGAAGCGGTGTGAAAAGGCTTTCATTTCAAACGCAAACAATCGCTGCGAGTAGGAATTGAAATTAATTTCATGTATCATCATTAATCAAAACACTCGCTCGCGAGCAGCCAAAGTATATATATATATATGTATGTATATGTTTTTGTATTCATCTGTAAGTAGAAAGATGTTGACTGCATTGGAGTAAGTAGTCATGGTCTGGTTTGGGCTCTTCACAAACACACACACACAGCCACACACACGAGTATTCTTCTACATATGAATGTATAACGATATTCATTCTGCAATCGGTCCCCCTCCACTGACAATTTCAATAGTAGGCTTTTGTAGGGGCGGGGCGGGGGCGAACAGGGACATTCCCCGAGCTCAACTAATCAGCATGCAAAGAAAACAACATTAAGAGTCAACAACAACGACTGGCACTCAACACAATTATGAGAACTGACGCTGCAAGAGTTTCATGTTTAATGACAAGTCACTTTCTGCGCCCCAGTTCAGTCATCGTCATTCCGTCATTCAGTCATTCAGACGAGCCGTCGAGCAGTCAAGCCGTCGAGCTGTTGAGCTGTCGAGCAGGCAAACTGCTGCTCCCAGTTGCCCCTGGCTCTAACGATGTTTTCTTTGAAAAGTTAGAAGCCGTTTCCAGTAGTTCAATTACAACTTCACCTCACTTGAAGCGTTTTGTCTCGGGTCCGCTCTAACCTCACGCCCTCAACGATAATACAATCCATACACGAGAGTTCGAGCAACATTCCAACGGCCTGAAGATGAACAACAAGAATATATAACGACATATATTGTGTCGATGGCAAACTCTTGTTGATTTATTGGTTAAATTTGATGCTAGTCAATATAATGAAAATTATGAAAATATTTTCAATAGTAATACACTTCTCACAACATGAATAGGTCACCCTATACACTCTCCATGTATTTTTGACGAATGACTTCATTTTCTGTTAACAAAATGAGGTCCACAACTTTTTCCTTTGGTTTGAAAACCATGTAGTACATTTTAATATTGCACAAAATAGTAATTATAAAATATTTATTATTATAAATACATTTTTTTTAAGGAGTTTACTTCACTTTGCAGTGGTTGATGATCAGCAACTGTTTTCATCTAGTATTCATCTTAATTAAAATATTCAAAATGCTTAGCATATTTTTTTTAAATTATTTTATTTCTGAGGAGATATTCCAATTAAAATCTTATGCAATTTAATATCCTGAAGTCAATTAAAAATAATGTTAAAGCTAAGAAATTCTGAGGGATTTGAAAACTGTTCTCACAGGTATTGAAGCACTGTGAATGCTGACAATCTGTACTCATTTACCTGATCTATCAGCGAAAAGTAAATTCAAAGATTTCCACTCTGACTGAAGGAAGTTCATATATATTTTATTAAAATAAGCATGTAGTGCTGTATACATTTTTTTATCTGATTGTCAGCCAACAGGATGTCAATTTGAGATACATATTTTATTCAGACACCACTCAGTCGGCATTATAGAATCGATATTTGAAACTGGTGGCAGGGCAGTGTGGTTTGAACTATTCGCAGCTCATCAGCATCGGCATCGGCATCATTTTGTATGGAGATACATGCGTACACAAAACACATTAACAAATCGTGTCTCAAATTAAAGGTTCAACAACAGCAGCTCTGACACCGACACGGACACCGACAACACAGTAACAAATGTTGTCGCTTTCATTGCGTTTGTGTAGGTTGACAATTTTGGGAACGGTTTCGGCCGTTAACAAAACATGGCATTTAATAATACGTCTACAATGGCCATGCATAAGTGTTATCGCTGACTAAAAAGCTTTTTGTTGCTACTCGCACGGTTATTGTGGTTGCTTTTGTTGTGTCTGTCTGTGTGTGTGTATCTGCCCCTGGCTTGTTATATCATATGTATCCGTATCAGAGTTTTTGTCGGTGCCCCATGTCCCATAGCTGCCGTTGCTGCTGCTGCTGTTGCTGCTGCTTGTAGTGTTAGCATTGTTGTTGTTGATTGGCCGGCGAAAGGTTGAAAACAAATGAGGTCGAACGTTTTTCCATCGAGTTTTATCAGCGTTATTAATATTGTAGATTCAAAACAAAACACACGTGATGCCATTAAATGCCATGTTTAATGGTTAGTAACGATTTCGATTTATGTATTTTAATGCCCGACCAAAACCAGATAAATATTCAAATTATAATCGTGACCCAATGTTTTGGGGCTACCAAATATCTCATGTGGCTGGGCCATTCAATTATAAATATTATCAAACAATTTTGGTTTTTCTGCTGTTAATAACTGTATATACATAATTGACACTCAAGCATTGGATAAGACAAACCAATTTACCAATTTACAGGGCAACAAAAACCAAACCTTAACTTCGGATTGGAAAGTCCTTGCAGAAAATCTGTTAAATCTGGGTCTACTATGACAAACCGTTTGATTAAACACTTCTCGTTTTTGGGCAACTGCGTACAAATAAATAAAATGCGCTGTCGTAGTAAATTGGTAATAAAACAATGTCCTTTCGTTGTCCATAAATCGCCAGGCAATATAACAAGCCAGTTTTTGTGTGGCACCCAAACTCATCGATATAGATTGTTGTTTGTCCTTGTTTCTGGGATCAGTCTCTCTGGCATAACTACACGAAATAAAGCGAAAATCAACTGAATTCCAGCACCGCGTCATTCGCATCCTGTCATTTATTTATCTCTACCTCTCTCGCCCCACCCAATGCAAGGACGTGCTGTTTCAGTATAGTATTAGTCGCGTCATTGCTGGTCACAATGAGGATTCAATAGCTCAACCACTGGCTCCCTGGCAGGGCATACAGGGTGTCCTGTATGTGTGTGTGCATATGTGTGTATGTGTAGGGCTTATGTGCACATATGTGCTAGCTATTTGTCTCTGTGTGTGTGTGTGGCTGTGTGGCTGTGTGTCTGTGTGTGTTTGCTTGTGTCAATAGAGACAACAATGCGGTTCAGATGCGACAGTCGTCATCCTGTCAAAACAAAGTGTGATTATTGATAATTTATGATGTCACGGATTTTTCCGCTAGCCGTATTATTATTCTTTCGCCAGACATTGCAATATTTTCCACATTTTTCCTTTGCCATCGAACGTTTAAATCGCACACAATGTGCACCTATATACATATGTGTGCACATGTATATATATATACATATTTTCATCATGTCTGCATACTTTATTCAACTGCATAAATATATACTCAACGTATTTATTTCTGCTTAAGCACACGTTCAGTATAAAATTGTTATGCGTACATTAGAGATTATTATTACTACAATTAATCATCATTTTTATATATAGGAAAATACAAATTGTTGAGTTCTCCATTTCCATTTTGCAAATATTTATTTCCGGTTAATACAAAGTATACATTTAAAGACACATCCTTCAGTTGTAGATATATATTTGATGAGTTACACTTGAAGCGTTTTTCTATTATTTTTACTATTACTTTTACTTATTGTGTTACTAATTCTTATAATTATTATATTATATTACTAAATCTCCAAAATAAGAAATATGCCATGATCTAATCTTACCTATAGTTTTATTCTAATAACACTCAAGTAATGAGAACTCCTTAAATATTATAGTTATATTTATATATTTATATTTTAATACCCACAAGGTAAGCTTTACATTTTTAATATCTATAATATTTATCCTTTTAAAATATCTTTCGTCAAGTCACACAAAATATATGCAATTTTTGCATTGATCTCTAATTGTGATCCCATACTAATGTTATTAACAGTAATTTTTCACCCTATCTCTCTCTCTCTCTCTCTCTCTCTCTCACACTCTCTCTCACTCACACTTCGCACACCTCTGCAGGGTTGCGCATGCGGAAAACCTTTGGAAATCGGAGAAAGGCTCATCGAATATCCTAAGTAAATATTATGCGTGCGACGAGTGTTTATTTTTGGGCTGTTTAGCTAGGGATTTAGTGGTTGGCACTGTGGTCATTGTGTGAAAATCTGTTTTTGCGCTTAGTGCTAAAAATGTAATGAGCAAGTAGGCATAATATAAATACGGACAACAATACAACAACAATGAGCGTAAATACGAAGTGGCCATAAATCAAACATTGCCCGGAAGTAATGAGCGGGAAAATTGACATGCGCTGCCTGCGATCAGTTGGCTCTTTAAATATTTAAGCAATGTATATATATATATATATATATATATATATATATATTCATCAGAGATTTGTCGACATCTCTTAACAGTTATATACTTAGTATATAGGCAAATGGGCATATACGATTATTGCCCCTATGTTGCGCCCTATTTTCGATCAATTCCAATCGACATTGGTTGTTTGGGCGCCATAATTTGTTTCGAAGTGAGTTGCGTCACTTAATCCATTTAACTCGCGCGGCCAGGCGTCATTTATGACGCTCTCTTTGCCGTGCCACAAGATGTGTTGTGGCACAAACAATGCGTTCAACGATGGCAGCGTGGGGCACGCGACGGGGCACGCAGCCCGTCTCGAAGGCTTATTAGGTTAATTACGAGTTTTTGATTGGTAAATTAAGAGCGGCGTCGACGGCTGCATGAGGCGGGCAGCCGCCACTGCCACCGGGACTTCAGCGCCCGTCTCCAACTCATAATGCGGCACGCGGCAAGCCGACTGTCTGCCAGCCACCAAATCAGCCAGCCAGCCAGCCATTTCGAAATCAGTTCTCAACTCACTGCCTCAATTCAAATGCGTAAATAATTAATTTAGAGCCAATTCACGAGCTGCTGTTTGTGTCTGTTTTGTTACCCTCGACTGTCGACTGTTGCCGCAACTGCTGCTATCTATGCTACTGCTATATGCCACAGATAAACCACCCGCCGAGCCTCATAATTTATCTGCGCCTCAGCAGACGAACCGTCCACTTTCGCAGTGGGTAACCAAGTCAAAGCCAAGCCACGATATTCAACCAACAAATATGCTCGTTACTCACCGAGCTGGACTTAAGTTTAACACAATTATAACTGGCCATGGAAAGCTAAAGTTGTGTTTCCCTTAAGCAGCTACATTTCCCAGGCAACGACAACATTACTTTATGCTTATAG